CCTGGAGGAGTGCAGCTCCCACAACACTCAAGAAGGTTGACATCATCCAAGTCAAATCAGCCTCTTGAATGGCGTCTGATCCACAAACATCAACTCCCTCCATCACTGTAGTAGCAGAAATTCACAAAGGCTGTGTAGACAGCATCTTTTAAACCCATGACCATTGCCATCTTGAAAGACAAGGGCAGCAAATTTATGAGAACACCAAAACTTCCAAGGTCACAGCCAGCACCTTTCCTTGCAATCGCAGGAGACACTACACTTGCCCCTACACCTCCCCTCTCGCCTCTGTCCAAGGCCCCAGACAATCTTTCCAAATCCACAGGGATTCACCTGTACGTCCTCCAAACTCGTCAACTGTGTCCGTTGTTCCCTACGTGGTCACCTCTACATCAGTGAGACCAAGCGCAGACACGGTGACGGATTCACAGAGCATCTGCGCTCTGTATGCTATAATCAGCAATACTTTCCAGCTGCCAACTATTAAAAGGCATCTGGATGTGTATATGAATAGGAAGAGTTTAGACAGATATGGGCCAAATGCTGGCAGATGGTTCCAGATTAATTTAGGATATCTGGTCAGCATGGGCGAGTTGGACTGGAGGGTCTCTTTCCATGCTGTAAATCTCTATGACTCTGTGACCTGGTAGAAGGGTCTTCATGCTCAGAATAGAACTGACTTGGAGGAGCCGCCTGTGTGAATGGATACAATTCTTTGAGAACACCTGTCAGCAAGAGGAATTTTGGAGAAGGAACCTGAAACGGGAATTCCAGTGATCTCAAGGCCAAGGACCAATTCCATCCCCCCTCCACCTGCCCCGAAGCACCTACGAAATGCATGGTCAGGGGCGTGGCTCTAAGATTGGGCACTTCAGCCATCCAGGAAAACACAAATTCCATGACCAGTGACGCAGAATACCCTTGGATAATCATACTACTTAGCAAGTGATTGCCAACAAACTGGTGCAAATGACAGGTCAGGCTGGTCTGTGGACTACCCTAGAAATAGCTTTCATTTGCATTTTGGGCAACAGAAGAATTTTTTTAATCTTTCATGGTATATTTGTATAGGAGGGTGGGCCAGCATTTATTGCCCATCCCTGGATGTCGTTGAGGTGCTGGTGAGCTGCCACCTTGACCTGCTGCAATCTGTGTGCTGTAGGTAGACCCACATTGCCGTGAGATGGAATTCCAGGATTTTGATCCGGCAAATGCAAATGAACAGCGATATATTTCAAGCCAGGATGATGAGTGACTTGGAGGGGAACTTGCAGGTGTTTGTTGTTGCCGCATATCTGCTGTCTTTGCCCTTAATAGACAGTCATTGATGTTTTTGTTTGGAAGCTGCTGTTTAAGAATTTTTGTTGAATTTCTGCAGTGCATTTTGTAGATAGCATACACTGCTGCTGAGCATTGGTGGCAGAGGGAATGAATATTTGTGGATATGGTGTCAATCAAATAGGCTGCTTTGTTCTGGATGGTATCAAGCTTTTTAAGTATTGTTGGAGCTGCACCCATCCAGGAAAGTGGGAGTTATTCCATCACACTCCTGACCTGAGCCTTGTGGATGATGGACATGCTTTGGGGAGTCAGGAGGTGAGTTACTTGTTGCAGTATTCCTAGCCTCTGACCTGCTGTTGAGGCCACTGTATTTATATGAGCCCAGTTGAGTCTCTGATCAGTGGTAACAGCCTAGATGTTAATAGTGGGCACTTCAATAATGGTAATGCATTGAATTCCAAGGGCTGGTTGTTAGATTTTTGAGGACAAACTAGCAAGTAACATAAAAATAAATAATGAGTTGTTTCAAAGATATCAAAAGGAAGGGAGTGGCCAAACAGAAATCAGATCCCTTAGAAAATGAGGCTGGGGCAATTATAGTGGGACATCGGAAAATGCCACAAGAGTTCAATGTATACTTTGCATCAGTCTGATATTAAAAGACACTAATAATATTCCAAAAGTAGTAAATAATCAATGGACTGAAGTGGTGGTGTAAGGAAATAAAGAGAATAACTATCAGTAGCAAAACTCATGAGGCTAAAGGCTGATAAGTACCTTGGACCTGATAGGTAAAATTATAGGATTTTAAAGGAAGAAGCTACAGAGAAAGTGGATGCACTGATCGTAATCTTCCAGGATCCCTTGGATTCTGGATAAGATCCACTGAACTGGGCATCCTTATTCAGAAAGGAGACATTAAACAGGTACTGTTGACCAGTTCACTTAACATCTGTCATTGGGAATATGTTAGCGTCTGTTGTAAAGGATGCAATAGTAGAATATTGTGAAATACATAATATAATCAAGCAGCATCAACATGACTGCATGAGAGGAAATCGTGCCTGATGAATTTATTGGAGTTCTCTGAGAAGGTAGCAAGTGGGATAGGTAAAGGGAAAACAGTAGATGTAATATATTTGACTTTTCAAAAGGCATGCAGAATATACTGCTCATGAGCCCAGAGTGTTGAAGGTGGTATATTAGCGTGGAAGACAGAATTAGGAGTAGGATGCTCTTATGGGATGGTACCCTGTGACTAGTAGAGTGCCACGAATTAGTGCTGGGGTCGTAATTGTTTATGATACAAATTAATGGCTTGTTAGGGAGGGAATTCCAGGATTTTGACCCAGCGACAGTGAAGGAATGAGTTATTTCCAAGTTAGGATGATAAGCGTCTCGGAAGGGAACCTGCAGGTGGTGATATTCCCATGCATCTGCTGCCCTTGGCCTCTAGGTGGAAGTGGTTGTGGGTTTAAAGGTGTTATCTAAGGATGTTTGGTGAATTTCTACAGTGCATCTTGTGCGTGGTGCAGTCTGTGTACCCATGGTGCTTCTGAACTTGGCGGTGGATTGACTGAGTGTCTGTGGATGTGGTGCTAATCAGTAGGCTGTCTATTGCTTAGTTTGCAGATGACACCATCAGTAGGGTTAGGTTGGAAGACAAGTGGTGAGGATGACACAGTTTGCAGCAGGATATTGCCAGATTGAGTGAGTGAGTGAGTGCAAAAATGAGAGGTAAGGCACTTTGGCAGAAAGAATAGAAGAGCTGAATATTATTTAATTTTCTTTATTATCCACATAACTTATCCTGTTGTGCTTCTTGATTTTAATTGTCACATTGATTGTCACTTCCATTGGGAGGAAGAATGGCAACAAATATATGGGAACACCACTACCTGCATATTCCCCTCCAAGCCACTCACGATCCTAACTTGGAAATATATTGCCGTTCCTTCACTGTCACTGGTTCAAAATCCTGGAATTACCTCCTTAAGGGCACTGAGGGTCAACCTATATCATATGGACTGCAGCGATTTAAGAAAACAGCTCACTACCATCTTCTCAAAGGAAACCAGGGACAGGCAACAAAAAATAGTTGGCTAGCCAGCGAGTGAATAAAAAAAAGCACCCAGAACTTCATTGGTATTCATGTGCTTGTCGAGCATATAATTCCCCAAGTGATCACCTATTTCATCGACTGCTTTGGCTGTTCAACATTTCTTGAATAATTTGACAGCAGCCTCCATTCTGATTCTATCACAGGCTTCTAATATCCACTCTCACAGGACTGCTAACAACCTGTATGCTGCCTTCCTTGGTGAATATCTTCTCTCATCCAACATCAGTCATTCCACTTTTTTCTTGTTTTATCCTTGAAGGATTTGTTTAGAGAGACCGTCAATAGTTGATCAAAGCTGTTTAAATCACTGGGAATCACTGCAGTATCACTGATTTGCAATCTTACTAAGGAGTAGTATTGATTTGAATGTAAGATTATCCATTTGCTATTTACCCAGTCAGAAGCTCCAAACATTCTTCAGCCATATTTTCAAGCCATCTACATCCATCCATTCCTTATCACGAATGTGAAAAACTACTCCTTTTGGGAATTGCCATTTTGGAAAGTTTTTTTTACATTTTGACAGTCACCATTGTTTTAAGTTTTGTTCCATTGGCATGCACAGCAGCATAACCGAAGTTGTGCTCGTTAACATTCATTCATGAGAGTTTCATCTATGTTCTCAATACAAACCACTCTCTTTCCATTTTTTTTTGATGTTTAATTGTAAAGCTCTGAAGTGTGACTAACCTGTCATCAAGTTCTGCTGGGAGATGCCAGAACATCTTGGTTTTCTTGTCACAGTGCAGAATTGTTTCTCTACCTCTGTACCAGACTTAGCTTCTTTTCCTTGTACCATTGGAGCAAATTGATTGCAACAGTTCAAAAAGGCAGTTCACCATCACTTTCTGAACAATACCTTGGGATGGGTAATGAAAGCTGACCCAATTTTCTTGCTTGTTTGAAGGTGAAGATTTGAATAGATCCTTTAGAAACTGAGTCCACATTGTTCATTTTCATTGACATATTTTACTGCTTGATCTTCCAACTACATCTTTCAACCAGTAAGTATTCCTCTGTTTACACATTACTTCAGCATTTGCTCAGGCTATGTGAAGAGCATTCTCCAATCTGTGTTCTTCTCATATTCTAATACCTCATAGCTGCTGAGCAACTATTTGTCTGCTGTGTAATCTCAGTCATTTTACGTTTGAACTGAGCTGCATATCCAGCATTCTTACTCTTTACTAGTGCGTGACATGCACAAACACAAGGTGCTGAACGGTTGCCTTCAATGGTATGCTATTCTCTGATTGCATTAAGTCCATTTGCTCTAGAATCAGTTTGACTTCAGTGATGAGTTTGAATTTTCTGGTTTAAGGTCAGAATTCAACAAATACGTGAGATGTATGAGAAAATGAATGATTTTTTTTGGCCAAAAGGCAAGGATCCAGTTTGAAAGTAGATTGACTGTTACGTAAATATTTATGGTATTTTAGTTCACCTAAAGCTTGTATTTCCGAAGGCCTACCAGCTTTGTTTGCAATTCTGAGTTCGTCATTTTAAAAGTACAAACACATTTTTTTCAACAGAATGCCTTACGTTTAATTCCAATATTCTTTGCTTATTTCGATAATTTAAATTTTATTTCATGTAGAGCTCCAGAGCATGCCACTGCTTGCCAGGTCTCCAAGCACCAATCGAAAGTATCCGCCACTATCTATTGAGAAATTGGAAGAGGAAGCTAATCGACGAATGGCAGACGACAACAAACTTTTCAGAGAAGAATTTAATGCAAGTTTCTCTAGTTTAATTTATTATGGCTACTACACCCTAAGTTTCATTGTCTATTTTCCTGTGATCTGAGAGTATGTTACATTATCCTACCTCATGCATGTCTTCCTGTCTCAAGACATTGACATAGTTGAATAGATTATTCTTTTCCGGTGCCTGTCTTCTGTTGTGTAGCTTAGTGGAACATTTGTAACCTAGCTTGATTCTTATTGAATCATGCCTTGGAATAGTTTTCTGGAGTCCCATAGCAGTTGATCCTTGATTTGGTCTTTTCCTCTCCTACTTGTTGTCCCCCTCATAGATTTTATTCAAAATCAGAAGCAGCATAAAAGAGGATAGTTGTAGTTGTTGGAGACCAATCATTTCAGCTTCAGGACCTCACTACATGTATTCCTCAACTGCTCCTGATATGGAACATAGAACAGTAGAGCGCAGGAGTAGGCCCTTGGCTCACAATGTTGTGCTGAATATGACACCAAATTAAACTAAGCTCTTCTGTTTGCCTTTGGTCCATATCCTTCCATATTCATGTGCTTATCGAAAAATTCCTTTAACACCCCTCACAGCTACCCCTGGCAGCGCGTTCCAAACTCCTACCTCTCTCTATGTAAAAAAATACTTGCCCCAACATCTCCTTTGCACTTTCCCCTTCTCACCTTAAATGCTTGCCCTCTAGTATTAGACATTTCAATTCTGGGAAACAGATTCTGACCGTCAGTCCTATCTATGCATGTCATAATTTTACAGACTTCAAGTCTCCCATCAGCCGCTGAATTTCCAGAGAAAAGAACCTGACTTTTTCTAGCCTCTCCTTATAGCTCATACCCTGTAATCCAGGTAGCATCCTGGTAAACCTCTTCTGCACCCTCTCCAAGGCCTCCACATTCTTCCTGTAATGAGGTGACCAGAATTGAATGCAATACTCTAAATGTGGCCTAACCAAAGCCTCATAAAGCTGCAACATGACGTCTTGACTTTTGTACTCATTTCCCCAACCGATAAAGGCAAGCATGCCATACACCACTCTACCACCCTATCTAATTGTGTGGCCACTTTCAGGAAGCTATGGACTTGAACACCAAGATCCCTCTGTACATCAATGCTGTTTACGGTCCTGCCATTATAACTGTACGTTTTTCCTTAACATTTGATCTCCCAAAGTGCAGCACCTCACACTTACCCAAATTAAACTCCATCTGCCATTTCTCCACCCACATCTGCAACTGATCTATAGTCCACTGTGTCCTTTGACTACCTTCTACACCATCCACAACCCCATCGATCGTTGTAATCAGCTGCACACTCACTAACCCACCCATCTACTTTTTCATACAAGTCAGTTATATGTATTCAGAAACAGAAGAGGTCCCAGTAAGGATCCTTACCAATACCAAAAATCATGAACCTCCAGCCAGAAAAATATCTTTCTACCACTATCCTTTGACTTCTATGGGCAAGCCAATTCTGAATCCAAGCGGTCAAGTCACAGTGGATGCCATGCATCTTAATCTTCTGGATGAGCCTACCATGAATGACCTTGTCGAAGCCTTACTAAAATCCATGTAGACAAAATCTACTGCTCTACCCTCATTGATCACTGTTGTCACCTGCTCAAAAAAATCAATCAGTTTAATAAAACATGACCTGCTCTGTGCAAAACCATGCTGACTTTCCCTAATTCGGTCATACTTGTTCAAATGTGCATAAATCCTATCCCTAAGAATTCTCTCCAGTAGCTTCCCAACCACCGATGTGAGACTCGCCGCTCTATAGTATCCTGGATTATCTCTATTTCCCTTCTTGAACAGAGGAACAACATTAGCTACTTACCAGTCCTCCGGACCTCTCCAGTGGCTAGCGAGGATACAAAGATCTTGGTCAAGGCCCCAGCAATCTCCTCTTTTGCCTCTCTCAATAACCTGGGTAAATATTATCGGGGATAGTAGGAACTGCAGATGCTGGAGAATCTGAGATAACAAGGTGTAGAGCTGGATGAACACAGCAGGCCAAGCAGCATCAGAGGAGCAGGAAAGCTGACGTTTCGGGCCTAGACCCTTGAAAAGACCCTCAGAAAAGACCGTTTTCTGAAGAAGGGTCTAGGCCCAAAACGCCAGCTTTCCTGCTCCT